CGTGGGACGCGCGGCGGGTCACGTGGGGGGCGCGCGACCGCCCGGCGCCATTAGAGGCGTCAGGTGACGGCGGGAAATGGAGCCGAGCGGGGAGCGGGCCTGCACTGCCCGTCCCACCGCACTGCCCATCCCATCCCACCCCCCATCCCACCGCACTGCCCATCCCATCCCACCGCCCATCCACTGCACTGCCTCATCCCACCCCTCCATCCCACCGCACTGCCCATCCCGTCCCACCCCTCCATCCCACCGCACTGCCCCCTCCCACCGCCCCCCCCCTCATTCCACTGCCCGCTCGCACCGCCCATCCCACCGACCCATCCCGGTTCTCTCCCGTGCCCCGGTGAGGGAAGGACGGGGCTCGCGGGGTTCGAGGCGCGGTCGCCCCCACTGTTGTCCCCCAGCGCGGGCTCCGCACGCGAAAGCCGAGTGACTGTGATAAGGGCGAGTTTAGTTCTGACATTCCCTGAGCTCGTAACCTCTTTTTACACGTTGTTTTTACATGGAATTTCCTTTTCCTGTTGGCTACTTCCAGTACAAATGTAAATAAACTCTGCAGGGGAGGTGAAAGCACAGTCGATGGTTTGTCTGATGCCTTGGGTCACTCCTCGCCACAGTGACATATCTTTTCTGTTTCCCTTAAAGGCTCAGTTTTCCTAAAATAGCTTTTTCTTCTTTGCAAAGGTTACACACAAGGACCTTAACTCCACTTCTTTTATTTTTTTTCCTGCAATTCTCTAATGATCCTGTCAAAAAGCACTAAACCCAGATCTGAGCCCCTGCTGCAGCCCTGCCTTGGCTGTTGGAGGTGTGCAGGATCTGTGGTCAGGTACGTCTCACACACCTGGCAGTGCCCATGTCCCCACATTCACACCCTTCCCAGTCTGTCAGCAGAGCACACTGCGACCAGGCCATCACCCCTAGACCACCAGCCTTTTTTCTTGTAAGTAGTTATTAGTTTTTAAATTATTGATTCCGGTGTAACAGTGCTCAGCCAGAAGGTGTTCCATGACTATCCAGTTGCTCCAAGGTTCTCCCTGGTAATCCTCTACCCTATTCCTTAACATTTCTCTCAGATCTGCATCTCTTCCTATTGACGTTTTTCACTGCTGACATCTCTTCTGTGCTGCTTCAAGTCTGTCTTTGCCTTGCAAGTGTCTTTGCTGATGTCCCTACCTATGTCCTACTTCTCCCAGCTCCCATGGGGTCATTTCTGGCATCCCAGCTTCTCCTGTCCCTACTTGCTCCAATCCAGCTTCCTTTGCTGTCGGCTGAACAATCGTGTCTTTCCACAGCTGCTTCCAACTGTACAATCCCCTCATTGCCACTCGCTCACCTCCCCAAAACACCAGGCTGGCTTCTGACCAGGACTCACGAGGGAAGCCACTGTTTTTGGGTGCACATCCAGATGTCCCTGAAGCCTCCCCCTTGGGGCTCCAGGTGCTACCCAGCCTTGGCTGATGGAAAGAAAGCTCTCAGGCAAGAGCAACATAATCTAATAAACTCCTCTCTGTGTTTAACAGACATTCAATTCTACAGCTCATGGTTTTGTGTATTTGAGTGGGATAATGTTTCTGATGTATTTATTTTTACTTGTTTATGTTTTCCTTTCCATGATGTGTTCTCTTTCACTTTAGAAAAAGTGGTTTTTCACTCAGATATTATAGACAGCAGTAAATGCAAGTGTTTAATTTTTCTGAAACCAAGTAAAATATTATTTAAAAGGTTGTCTTAATTCTAAAAGTGAAATTGTGCTTACAGTTCTGATTACATACATAAATAAATCTGTCATCAGCAAATGCAAAACAAATTATTGTAGAGAATCTAGCTTAAACACAGCCTGTCACAGCAAATTTAATTAAAAACTGGCACGTATCTAGATTATTTGCTACCTTCACTGGGATGTGCCTGATCAAAAAGGAAACCAACCAGGCAGGCCAGGAAATTGTGGAAAGACTGTCAGCTCCTTTGAGTGCTGTGTTCAAATATGTGTCTAATTCAATTAAACCCAAATAAGCAGTCAGAAGCTATGGAATGCTTACCCCAAAACCCCTCCCATGACAGAACTCAGTGCACGTATTTCAGTGAAGCTCTGCCGTTGCTGAGAGCAGACAGGAGTTGTATCAATTGCTTTTCCACCTACTTAAACTCACTGCCAGTCCCTGCACTTAATGGTGGGCCTTTTGCCTTAGCAAGGTGACACTAAAGCCTCAATTCTGGAAAGAATATAAATGTGTTTTAAGAAAATTATTAGTTCCATGCTTAAAGTAAAGGGCTGCGTTGGGGGAGAAGAGATGATACTTACCAAAAAATGATGGCAGATAATGAGAAGAAGGAGGAAAAAAACCTCCTTATTTCAAACAGAAATCAAAGCACCTCTAAGAAGAGTTTGTCGAAGCAGACACACAGTCTCTGCAGTTTAACAGGTATATTAGGAAACAGCTAAGCCACACAATCAGTCTGTGTAAATATGCCATGGTTTGGACTGTCTCCATCTTCATAGCACATTCAGGAATCACATGGATGAGTTCATCCTACAGTAGGGTCTAGAAATTCCCCGTAATACAGCTATCTACTTTAACTGTTAATTCGTGTTCTGTAAATAGGTCTCTTGAAAAGTGAACATCATCCCATGAAGGCCCTGTGAGCCCTGGGATCAGCACTGCTGGGCTGGAGCCAAGGACAAACACCACGGAGCTGCCCTATGGTGCCACTCTTCAGTGGGGGCGGGAGGGATTTCAGGTTTTTGTGCTAATTCAAAACTGAAGCCACGTGTCCCCAAATCATCATCAGTCTATTAGTTTTATTATTTGTCTGGGACATCGAAGCCATGGCTTTCTTGGTAGCTGCTGTAGGAGTATGGCACTTGCTTTTGGAATAAATCAGTGTGACCCTGAACCTCCCCATCATCCCAAAAAAACACAGGCATTAAGTATATACAATTTTCCCAGCATTATTTAAAATACCTCAAGCCTTTGTGCGGGGGTGACGAGAGAGAAATAAGACACGTTAAGATGTTTTATAAAGATATATTTTAACTTCTAAGGCACTCAGGAACCATGGTGATGGTTCCTGAAATTGCTTAGATATGAGCTCTGATCCACAGGGAACTATTCTAAGATCATCAGATGCTAATAACTTCTAGTTAGTACCGACCTGGGCTGGATCAAATGGGTGACAGAGCTGAAATCCCTGGAGATCTTCATTTGAATGTCAGCTGCTGCTCTGCCAGTGTAAAGTGACCTCAATGGAAAGGAGGGTCTCGCTGTAATCTCACACTGTTGGGAAGTTAAAAACAGTCTCTCACCCAAATTGCTGTGCACCTGATGCCAGAACAAATTTAGTTTTCCCCTCAGTATTTCCTTTCTTCTCCATTCAACATTCTGATGTAGTTTGCGGGGAGCTTATGGTGGCTCAGACACCATGGAGTTAAAACTTGTAAACAGATTGCTGTGGTTGTTCTGTGCATGCCAAGGGGAGCACAAAAGATTATTAATTGCAGAATGATACTGTCAGTAACAGCCTTGATCCTGCACTGGGCATCATCCTGTCACTGTCAGAACCTGTCACTGTTGTAGATGTCTTGTATTATCTATCATGTTCTGGGTAGGTTTGCTCTTCAGAAATATGATTTGAAAACATAGTTGCAATTTTAAGTCATTTTTACGTTTCTTAGTTTTGAACACATAGTTTACAATTATACTTTAAATATCTTAAAAGGGATCAATTTTACAGCAACCTTAAAAGCTCATTATATAATTCTAACAATTTTAATCAACATACTGACAGTTTGTTGCTGTCTGTGTAAAATTAAGTTGCTTTTATTTTTCATCTGCAGTAGCAGCAGCATCCAGGCACTGTCCTGCAGTTCAGTAATGGAAATTTCCCAGCCTCAAAGCACACTCTGTCTCAGTCAGCTGCAACAAAACTCTGGGTGATTTCAATGTTGTTGTGTGTGCTTTACTTGTCCTCGCTTATCTGCAGCTTGTATCTTTTGAAAACCAGCTACTCCTCATGAGCTTGCTTCATCTTGCCCAAGACTTAAAATTCAGTAAACAAGCTGGGAATGATAAGAGAATTGAATCACCAGATAAAGAGTTATTTTACAGGACTGACAAGACAAAACATACATGTAGTCAGTATTTATACAGAATGTTGCAGTGACTTGTGAGTCGTCACTGAGGTCCTGGTACATGACCTTTGTTTTCTTGTGCTGCAGCTTTATGCACTGAAAGACTATTAAGTTCTTACAAAAAGATTTAGCTAGTGTATTATATCAGTCTCTTGATCTCTGTATTTCTGGTATAATTGATTGCTAGGAAAATAAAAAATAATGAAAAAAAAGAGATAAAATTATTACAAAGCCTCAGAAATATAATAATTGACAAATCCTAAAACATGCAGCCTGTTCCCCCACTTGTTCTCTGTTCAGCTGTAAGGCAGGACAAGTGATGCCTCCAGCAGAGGCAGAAGTCAAAGCGTGTAGAAACAGGATTATTAGGGTTTTATGTTGTCCAGATATTGCAGTAGCTCCATTTTTAATACTTCTTGCTCATAGCTAAAAAATTTAGAGAGCATTTGTGATGAAGAGGTTGGCTGATGTTAGGGGAGAAACGGTGATTCAAGAAAGAGTAAAAGAGAACGAGGAGGGAAGAATGTAAATTAAAATCAACAGGCAGTGGGACTGAGCAATGGGAGTAGAAGGGTCATAGCTGGAGGGGTGATATCCAGACCCCACTGCATCCAGCTTCGTGTATGTGAAGCCCTTGGCAGACACACAAGTCCCTTCCTGGAGAACTGGTTTGGAGAATGATGCCAGGCCTTCCAAAAAGAGCTCACCAGGACTTGCTTTCCCTGACATCATTGTCTGCTGGGCTGATATCCATCACAAGTACACTGTGATGTTGACTAATGACTGTGATGGCACAGGTATGTCCTACCTGTCTGCTTTTATTAGATTTAGTATAAACAATGGGCAGTGACTGAACAGAAACAAGTGACAAGGGACAGTACACTAATGGCATTCTGACATTTTCACCTAGAAGTCACCAGGGTTTAAAATTCAGCCAGCATTGATAAAACATCTCATGACAACTGTGTGGCAGCCTTTAGGAGCAGGTTGGAGGCTGTAGCATAGCAAATATAAGGTTCCATATGCAAAATAAACCGTCCTACTGAGTTTTCCTGGCAGATCCCATGGAAACAGGATTCCTTCTTCTCCTCTGCTGGGCAGGTCCTGGCCTTGCTGACATGGAACTGCAGAAGAGGCACCTCCAGATTTATGGCTGGGACACACTTCAGGGCGCCTGCAGGGAAATCTGCATCTTTGCTCTCTAAGGTGCACCTGTGCTGTGGGAGGTATCAGTCTATTTTCCTTGCACTTGGTTCAATTCACTGACCTGACAGCCCATAGAGTCTGTGCTGCTTATTTTTAATAGATGTTATAAATATTACAGACATCCATTTCTACAGTCCAAAACTGATGAATCATCATTCTTTAAAACAAACTTTTCTTTTGCAATTTTGCATATCTATAGCAGATAAAAGCAGTACAGAGAAAAGTGATTTCCTGAAGGAAGTGGTGTCAACACATTTTGAAAAAAAGAGCCAAGCTGTTGGAATCTGTGTTGCATTACAGGGTAATGCAATATCTCTGAGCACTTCCTGTTTATCATGAGAGATACAGTTTTCACCACATCATAAAACCTTAAAACATTTGTTAATAAACACTCCTAAAGAAAAAATAATTTCCAAATATACAACCCCCGTGGCATCTGTCATTATAAACAAAAGAAGGTTTTCATTATATATATCAGAGGACTATTTGTGTGAGAGAAGCAGATTCTGAGGTCTCCATCCACCTCCTCCCGAAGGCCATGTTGCATCTCTCATTAGGTCATTGCACCCCAGAACATAATTCTTCTTATATGTAAACAGCAAGATGTTTGAATGAGCAAATGTAATTTTTACTATCATCATTTGTCATCTTTTTAAACAGTGTGGGGACACAGAGAACGAACATCTGCAAAATTGCAGCACAGAGTCTTGTATGAAAATGACAAGAGTAAGATTTGCTTCTAACAACAATAATCTGCCAGAGCTGAGGTACCCAATCAAACAGACAAATCGTGCAGATGTTCACAGTGGTGCTGTCTCGCTGTGTAGCCTTTCTCACTTGACAGCTTTGTTGCCTCAATTAATTTTTCTGGATAAATTAACCTTGCTGGAAAAGGTAGAGCTGGGGAGCAGAAGGGTGCAGATTTTTCAACACCAGCAGCCTTGATGTTGCAATTTGCACACCCAGCAGATAAAATCTTTGGCAAGGAAATGCAGATTATTGTGACTGATTCAGGATGTTCTTGTGATCATGGCTGGGACTTGGTCTGCAGCTGACAGGGTGGGGGTCGGGGAGGGAATTCAAGGTTTCTGTCAATGCTACAGGGAATAAACATTTTGATAGGTACCTGTACAACAACAATGCTGTACAGTGAGGCAGGCACAAGACAGGCTTGTGCCTCTTACAGCCTCACCACTGAGGGAGGCTTGTCAAGTTCAGAGCAAACTACAAGGCCTATCTGTTCAAGATGGGAGCATCTGAACTGTGGTTTCATGTGGTAAAATCCTGCTGCACGGAAATTCAAGATGGGTAGTGACTATGTACAATTCTTACTCCTTTAAATCTCTATAACATTTAAAACTCTGCCACACAGACTGTTATCAGTTAGACCAGGGAAAAGATTGAACCTCAGAAAAAAGTTCCCTCCAGCTACCAGCACAACATCTAGCAAAATTGAATTAATAATTAAGACATTTGTAGCTTTTTGGATTTTTAAAGTTTTAACAATCGGAAAATTATTTGGATCACATTATCTTTGTCTTACCTGACATATGGTGGCTATTATTGCAGATATGAAGAGCCTCATGATAAGAGATGCCTTTTGTAAGTGCAACACATCCATTGTAATCAGGCACTACATTTATCTTAACTGCATTACTGAGTTTCTGGGTTTTGTAAAAGTGACACAAAATTGTTTTGAGATCCAACAGCATCCTGCATCTCAATTAACTTTTCGATACGATGTCTCATTTCCCACTCATGTAAACAGCCAAACTGAATCCCTGGCCTGGAAATCCTACTGCTTTAAAAAAAAGAAAAAGAACACCATTCTTTTTGAAGGATATGGCAAAATATCTGCAGGATGATGCTCTGCATCCAATTTTACATGTACCATTAACAGCAGCAGGGTAAGATTAAGTGATTATTCTCTGCCAAACAGTATGTGTGGGGGAGCAGACAACAGATGTGCAGCCACTTAGCCTATGCCTTGTGCACCAGACTGTGGTATGGAAATTCACGTGGATATTTAATTGTTATTCAACTACAAGTTGCTTGGATTTATGAGTCTGGGAAGTGCATATGCTGCAGTGAGAAATGAGTGTTTATTAGCACAGGAGCTGTGCTGGCCTTTCCTGCAGAGAGGCAAAGTACCCCCATCTAGAGAAAATGGATTAAAAGGGGGCTGTGCACCACTCTCATGTCCCACTTACCTTTGTGAAGTGCAGTTGGATAAATGCCAATATATGGATACATTTCCATCATGAACTCCGAACAGCTTTTACTGCTGCTTATCACAGATAATAAAATGCAGCAGCTGTCCTTTTATCAAATCCCAATTTAGAGAAATGTATGTCTAAATAAGGGACATAAGCAAGATCCCACCTTCAGGGACAGCCACATGGATACATAAGAATAAATCCTTTAAGAGCTAGGATGGGACCATCATCTTGTATTCAAGAATTTTTCCAGTGCTCGTTGCAGCAACCTTCTGCGGTTACACTGCACATCCTCTTTCCTCCTTGGTTCCTCTTCCAGGACTCTTACCCATGCCAACATCCTCCTGCTCTCCTGCAGTTCCATTCAGTCCTTTCTCTGCAGTGTGGGCTGGTGCTGCTGGGTGACCTTCCTTCACCCATCCAGTCACCCTCCCTGGGTCAGGCCCTGTTCATCCTGTGCCCTTTTGAGGGAAGCCCCACCTAGGAGGTGAAGTGAGAGGTTAGGCACCAAATAGCAGTGAGGCATCCCCCCAAACACACCAAATCTTCAGCAAAAAATCTGATGTTCATACTTCTCCCACTCATTGCAGTTCCAGTCTCCATTCTCACAGCGTCCAATTCTTCTCCTTTCCTGGGCTGGTATATTTTTTACTGAATTTATTTTCTTGCAGTTTACTGAGCTGCATGAGCTCATTAAAGAGGCAGACAAGCACCAGACCTGTACAATGAAAGCAGCAGGGCTGGAAGCAGAAGCATCATTTTGATACCATCAGTCTTTTGGATTTGGCTCAGCTGCCAGGTGATATCAGTCCATAAAATGAGTTTCAGCTGTAAAACACGGAGGTTTGACTGCACTGCTGAGAAGCCTTCAGACACTTCTCTTGCCTTTGCCACCCTTTGCTGCACTTTTTTCTGTTCTTGAAAAATGCAGGAAAAAGCAATCATGAAGGCAGTTTTATAGTGACTTCCTCACCACCTTTTTTCTGCTCGTCCTCTGCCTCTCCTGTTTCTGCCATTGACCCTTCCCAAAGTCTTTCTGCTGTAA